GAGAACTAGAAGCTTTAGAAGATCAAAACCATTTCTGGGAGGCTATATAAAAATCAATAACAGTTTGGCCCCAGTGTTAAGGTGAATGGGAGAAAGGTGGGAGAGTGTGAAAAGAATATGCATTCATGAAGTATATGCACACAAACCTATCCAAAATTTTCTTGGGAAATGTGTTATGACAACAAAGAGAAAAAAATTAGTTGATCAACACATGCAAACAAAAGAGGAGGGGGGCAGCCCATGAAATCATGAAAGAATCATATGAATGAGTTTAAATAATAAACTAAATCAATTGAGCAGGAGTGAGAAAAAGTATGATAAATAATGGAGAGAAGAAACTATCTTTGACTACTGGACCAGCTGTGATAATGAGTCCCATGTATTGTTTAAGAACTGGAATATTCAAGGAAAAATAAATACCTTTTCTTTTCTTTTATCAAAGTGATTTTTATGGAGGCACAATTAAGGACTAAATGAGACACATCTTACTTCCTAGGAGAGTGATATAAACTCCCCACTGCACAGCTCCTGTGGCTGGGATTTTAGCAGTCAGAGCAGACTAAGTTTCCACTGCTTAAGAACTGAGGGGAACAACAAAGGGTTTAGGAAACTTTCTTGTTAGGTCCCAGTGGCTCCGGAGCAGGTGCAAAGGTTTGTGGGTTACTAAAGTACTTTTAAATCCAGTTCATTGTCAGAATTGCATTTAGACCATAATACGTTTATAGCCCATAATTATTTCTGTTCCCTAAGCCTTAACAACTCAGTCGCTTTTGTAAAACAGGAGATTTATTTTTTGCTAAATGGAGACATAGTTTACTGTCTTCACACTGATCCCAGAAATTTTCCATGTACATGAAATGATTGGTGCAATGAAATGCATCTTGCATCCCAGAATCCGTAAGAAAGGACATGGAGGTGTACAATTTTCCATTCATCACAGAAATCTTTCATACAAATACTGCCATCACCAACCAAAACATGACAGGCTACCATGACAGAGCTTTAAATGTTCTAAGTAGAAGTTGTCACTAGACAACAGGTGTGTAAACCAAGCAGTAAATACGTTCCAAACTCTCTTACAAGCAGGCGAGTGAAAACTGAGGTTTGGCATATTCATTCAGAAAGGGTGTTTCAGATGCAGCTGTGACAAAGAAGGTGGACAAGAGATGTCAGGCAGCCCTGAGACAGGGAGTTTGGGGTGATTCTGTGTCTGAGGAATACTCAGAAAATATTTTTGCTCTATGTATTTTTTAATGGTCAGTTTTGACTTTAGGGGAAAAATGATAATTATATGCACACACCACATTTTTTTATGGCAAACATTTGATTTCTCTAAGGATATATCTCTACACCTAAAAAGGAAGCCCACTTACCAAATGCCATTTTTGCGGTAGCTATAGCTGACATGGACAGTGTCAGGGCACCTGGGCAAAAGGAGGCAGTTTATCCCTCAGGTAAAGGCTTGGGACACCATGAGATCATCTCCCTGCTAGGAAGAAATTATCATTTCATCTGCAAGTGCAGTGACACTGTTTGCATGGGGATATGGGATGATCTCAGAAAAACACTGTGAAGTGTTCAAATTACTTACAGCTATTAGTTGTGATCATTTGAATGCAAGAAAGAAAACAAGAGATAGAAACACAGAGAGAAAGAGACAGAGATAGAGAGAAAGCTAAAGGCAGAGACAGGGAGAGTGAGAGAGTGCTCTGAGGAGGTATCAGGGGAAACATCTGAGATGGCTGAAGACACCAGGTGGAAATAGGATGTCAAATGAGTGCTCTGGGTTCTGGGATGTGAGAGAAAGAAGGTGAGAACAAAAGGCTGGCTGTGTTTCTTGATAAGCTTAGGGTTTTGCCTCCCAAACAGTATTATTTTTCAATTCTGAGACCTTTGCAAAAACTGCAGTCCAGAGGGAGGATAAAGAATTTAGAAAAGAATTGCCCTAGTGTTAGAAACCAACTTGGAGGAAGTGGAGAAATGTTTGTTCACTGGTTTTATAGGCGTGTTAGGCATTTAATGTGTGTCCAGCATGATTCTTGGTGTATGAGTTGTATCAGGAAAAAAAGGCTTCCAGAAAACCTGCTTGTATTGTATCAATACCATAGTCAAGATTGAGCGATATTAGACAACAACAAATCATAAATAAAACATCTAATGTGTGCAGCGCACACCATCTGAGGGTGTAACAGAGAGAATGGCCTGAAAAATGGTAAAAATGTTTCCTGTCTCTTCAAAACCCCCTCACCCTTTTTGAGAACTAAAACCTACATCCCTGCCTCAGGCTGGTGGTCAGGAAGGACAGGGACTGTCCTTTGCTCGGTGCACCACGGGAAATGGCTGAAGGGAATTATCTGGGCAGAGGTCACAGGATTGTCTTAACCAAAGATACAATTAATCAGAGGTCATGAGATTGTCTTAACTGAATCTTAGCTGAATATGGGATTAATCAGAACCATCCCTTTTAACAGCTCTTTATTTCTGCTCAGAGGCAGGACGTTGGCATTTTAAGATGGGACCCGGCCAACCTCCTCATTTGCTGGCAACTTAATAAATTTCTCTTTCCTTCTCCTCAAACCACTTGTCCTCATTCTTCTGATGCAGACTCGAGGACAAGTGCCAAACTTTCGCTAACACAGGCACCACTGAATAACCAATCTGTCAGCAGCAAAGACTCGCACCGAGTCCCCGGTGTTGTACCATTTCCTTAAATAATCATCCAGCTACACGGTTGCAGGTTGATTATGCTGGAACACTCCTATCATGGAAGGAGTAACTTTTATTCTTACTGGACTTGATGCTTACTCTGGATGTGGACTTGCCTTCCATGCATGCAATGCTTCTGCCAAAACTGTAATCTATGGACTTAGAGAATGATTAATCTACCAGCATAATGGTGTAATCCATTGTGTAATCCACATGGCATGACTTCTGATTAAGGAACTCACTTCAGGGCACATGAAGCTGAAGTGCAGCAATGGGCCTAAGCACATGCATTTGCTGTTTTTACCACGTTCCCCACCACCCTGAAGCAGCATGCTTGATAGAATAGTGAACTTCCTGTTGAAGGCTTTCCTTGCAGGGCTGGGGAATGATTCTCCAGAGGGCTGTGTATGTTATGAATCAGGATCCAACCTATGGTGCTGTTTCTCCCATAGGCAGGATTCACGGAACCAGGAATGAAGAGCTGGAAATGGGAGTAATCCCACTCACTAGTACCCCTAGTGATCCACTAGCAAATTGTGCTTCTTGTTTCCACCACCTTATACTGTGTTGGCCCAGAGACTTTATTCCAAAAGGAGGAAAGTTTCTACCAAGACACACACATGATTCCACTGAACTGTGATTAGACCTGCCGCCAACTGTGGACTTCTCATTCTGATAAATGAACAGGCAAGAAGGGAGTTTTGGCTACAGGATGGATCCTGACTCCCACAGAGACACTGGACTCGTACCCCAAGATGGAGGTAAGGAACCGTATGTCTGGCAAGCAGAAGATCCCTTAGGGCATCTGCTACACTCTGTGATTAAATACGATGGAAAATGACAACATCCCAATCCAGGTGGGACCACTAATGTCCCAGACCCTGCAGAAATTAAGGTTTAGGTCACCCCACCAGGGAAAGAACATGACCAGCTGAGGCGCTCATATAGGCGGAAGAAATATGGGATGTGCAGCCAAAGAAGGTAGTTATAAATGCCAGATATGGCCACATGACCAATGATAGATAGGAAGACTGGAATCATGAGTTTTTATTATTTATTCTGCCATGATTATCACTGCATGAGCATGCCTTTCTGTGTGGGTTTATAAGTGTGTATATATGTGGGCATGTGTGGCTTTATGTCTCTGTGTGTTTATACTAACTGGTTTCTTTCTTCTTTTATCTCCTCATCACGTGACCTAAGATACCTTGACTTTATAGCAGAGTATTTATGTACTGCTGACTTTATTTCATGGTATTTAGGTTAAAGGCCATCAAGTTTAGATTATTCTGGGTGAGTCTGTGAGGGCGTCTCTGGATGAGATTTGAGTCCGTGCACTGAGGGAAGCAGATTGCCCTCCCCAGCGTGGGAGCCTCCCCCAGCCACAGACGCAATGAGTAGAGTGAATGATGAAGAAAGGTCGGCCGAGCTCTGTCTCACTGGTCCAGCTGGGTCTTCTCCAGCCTTCAGTCCCAGACTTGGACGAGAACTCACACCATCGGCTCTCCCAAGTCGCTGGTTTTCCAACTGCAGATCTTGAGACTTCTTGGCCTTCACAACGTCATGCGTCAATTCCTCATAAATTCTCTTTGTTAGTATGTGTGTGTGTTTGTGCGTGTTGTATAAGTTCCCTTTCTCTGGAGACTCTGGACTAATGCAATTGTAGAAGACTTTCCCTGGACTTGCGGAACTCAGACCAATAAAGACAGACTTTCCAATTATTCAAACAATGAATAATTCAGGCACAGCTTTTTTCAATTATTCAGAAGGAGGAACACAGGGCACAATGAGACTCAATAGCAGGAGTACTTCAAGCACCTGAGTCACCTAAGTGTGTCGGAACTCTGGAGAAGGAGAGAACCAGGCCTGAGTACCGGGCACTGCCAGGGAGGTGGGGGATGGGCACCGTCGACCAGGAAGAGCGTGGGGTGGGCTGTTCTCAGAACTGAGGGTATCCGAGAATACAGGGAGCCAGTCACCCAGTGTCATGTGTACCCTACAAGTGTTCCTGGACTTTATCTTGAAGGTGAAGTGTAAACTTTCAGCAAATGGATGTGTGAGCAGATTGCTGATGTAAGAAACCATCTCTCGGTAGGGAATGGAGGGTGGGAGCACTGTGCTGATAATGAACAATGATGAAACTCCTACAGTAATCTGACCCCCGATGATGTGCCCATCAGTATTCTAAGTGGCTTATGGAATTCTCACAAAGCCCCACAAAGCCCCTAGGTCATAAACACATTTACAGTTGAGTGGGATGAGGCAGGAAGACTTCTTTGCCTTTGTCACAGTTAGGAGTTTGGGAAAGGTGCCTCCTCTGCTCAGATTGTCTCAGGAATCTGACCGTGAGAAGGTACAAATATGTTAATGTCCCGGGACTTGTGTCTGGTGGGGCATGTGGTTACCTGTGACGAGTTTGCTTTGTAGGGAGGAGCCGTGTTTTCTGGGCTGGAGGGTTTAACTCAGTTATGACCTTCAACAACATTGAATGTCAGGCAGAGGGGCCTGTGTCTCAGTTAGAGTAAGCTGTGACCTGGGGAAGGGTTTGATCAGGAAAAGTTCAGCAACAGGCAATGGTGGGGCTGTGAGAATAATGGATGTCGGCATGGAGTGAGGGCCTGGAGGAGGGGACCAGGAGGGAGGCTGATGTGGTGGCGCGGACAAGACATCTTCAGCCTCAGTGACTTCGGGTGTGGAGATGGACCAGGGGACACGTGTGGGATGAGCTCAGGCAGAGATGTTCAGATGTGCTCACTGTGTGGAGTGGATGAGGGCACGGAGCAGAGGGCTGCTCCACCTTCTGCCTTGGTTCACTGGAGCAGCCAACGGGGCCATCACAGGACAGATGACCCCAGGAGGAGAGGAAGGATCTGGGAGATGTTTATAAGAAGTTATTCGACAGGCAGAGGAAGCATACCTCTCTCCTGGCCTGGCCGTGTGGTTTTGTTTCTCCCAAGCACTTCCTCCCTCTAACCTCCCCATTTCTCTAAGTAGCAACATCTGGTCTTCATCCCTGTCTTTAAAACCTCTCAGTCATTTCTGCTTCTTCACTACCTCTTCTCCCCTGCCCACAGCTCCTCATCCTGTACCTTGGGTTCTCTCTCCCTGCTTTGGGCCAGGCACTCATTGGAGGAAATTCGCAGTTTCCGTTTGAGACACAGGGGTCACATGCACTGACAGTCAACCCTCAGCGGGTAACATCCTCCCTCCCACTTCCCTCATTGTGGAAAGCTGATAAGGACCTCTCCTTTCAAGGTTGTTATCAGGGTCTGCAGTTCCTGAGACATGGAAGGGGTTCAGTCTGGTGTAGTTTAAACGACCAGATTCACACATACAGTATACAAGCCTTTATGGCAGGGATGGTTAATTGGAAGCCCCCAAATCTTTCCTCCTGGCCTAAAATGTAAATAAGAAGCCGTGCTCCATTCTCAGTTCAATGGCAGAGGACCACAAAGGCTTGCTAAATGTACGAATGCTGCTGCTCCTCCTGAATTCCACACTCAGCCAAATTACTATTTTAAAATGAAGGTGAAAATTTCATCGGTGGGGTGTCTGAGTGCTGCGGCCCTCAGGGCATCTCTGATCTGGAGGGAGTCCACCTCACATGGAAATCTGGAGCATGGTCGGCTTTTTCAGGAATAAGGAATTTATAGGGTTCCATATCTTTTCCCTCTTTTTCTTATGGACCTAAAAATGCCATAACATAAAATTAACTATTAAGCATTTTAAAGGGTACACCTTAGTGGCATAGAGGACATTCGTAATGCTGTGCAAATACCCATGTATCTCATTTCAAGACATTTTCTTTTCCACAAAGCAGAGCCCCAAACCCACTGAGCAGTCCCTGTCTACTCCCCGCCCCTCGTCTCATCTCCTGGCAGGTACCAGGCTGCTTTCTGTTTACGAATTCATCTACTATGAATGTTTGATATAAATGGAGTCTTAGAGTATATGACGATTTGTGTCTCACTCTTTTACCTGGCAGATTTTGGAGTCTATCCGTATGGTAGCAAGCACTTCATTCAGCCCCTCATTCTTTTTATGACTAAACAATATTAGATTCTATGGAGAATGACAATGTATTGTTTCATTTCAATACTTGAGCCAGTTCTGAGATCCAGAGCGCAATTTGAAAGGTGGAGTCCAGGGCTCATGCAGGCTTGTAGTTTTTTATCAACTTAAAAAAAATTGTCTAATAAATCTTCAAGTATTTTCTGCTTATTTTCCCTCCTTAAGATACCCCAATTACACATATATTAAATTACTTGAAGCTGTTACGAGGGCACCAAGGCCTCTTCATTTTTAAAAAACTTTCTTTTTTCTCTTCGTGTTCCATTTTGTGAATCTGCACTGCTACATCTTCAAGTTCACTCTTCCTAATTTCCTCATGTCTAGCCTGCAGTAATCTCAGCAAGTCATTTCCAGTGAGGTATTTCATAGCTAGGCTCAACCCACGTCCAGATTAAACCCAATTGTCATTAACTTGTTGATGTTGGTAAACAGGCAGACAGCAATGACAAAGGGCTGGATGGACAATAGACAGGGTAGAAGGGTAATACACAAGGTACTGGCTCATCTTCCATCCTAACAGGCTGACAGTTCTCAGGCAACACATCTGCACACAAACCCTGAGATTCCCCACGTGCTAAAGGAGACTCGTAAAATTCTCCAGACAGGCTCCTATTGTCACATCTGCCAGGTGCACAGCACAGAGGCCTTGGGCGCATTGACACGATACTCAGTCCTGGTCTCCTTCGTGTTCTCCAGGGCAAGCTGCACCCGGGTGGCTATGGCATGCTTGTCCATGCCCCTCCACACCCTGTGATGCTGGGCTGGGGCTCTGACATCTGACCCCTGCTCTCCCCCCAGGTAGGCCCTGTCGCTAGAGGGTGCTAAAGGGGCACAGGACTCAGAGTGGAGGCAGGATGTCACCGCGTTGCTCTCAAATATCCCCCCTCTAAACTGAAACCTCCCAAGTCTACAGATGTGAGCGCACTAAAGAAACAATTGTGCAAATGTTGGTGGGCGGGGCTTCTTGGATGGAAGAGTCTGCAACGCCACGCCAGATAGACCTGGGGTGGGGGTGTTCTTGTCTGGGATGCCAAGACACCAGCGGTGGGAGCTACTAGACCACCTTTGCCTAGTCCCTGAGCCAGTGTCCTGTGGTATAAGTGGATCACAGCCTGGGGTCTTCCCATCCTTTCTTCTCCTGTGTGATCACAGAATTCTGTACCTCCCTCTCAGGCCTGTCAGACTTGGGGCTTTCTGCATGTTTTCTTGGCTCTTAAAAGCTTCTCTTATAGTTCTAAAGGGCTTTATGGTTCAGTGGATGCTCATTCTTTTCACCTTTTCTGCCTGTCAGGGCCCAGTGCTTCCAGGTAGTTAAAAGCATCTGTTAGATCTGATATCTCCAGTGGCCTTGTCCGACATCAATCACCTGTTCACACCAGGGAGGAAGCTGAGGACCCCGCTCCACCCCAGGGCTCCTGGGGCTGGCAGTGACCTCCCAGGTGAGGGGCCAGCCCCAAGAGGAGGAGACAGACAAGGAAATTGGGCCGTGGAAGGAAGAACCAGCAACTCCTTAGAGTCACAGTCCAGGAAGTGACTGGAGGGGGCAGCGGGCACCAGGCAGGATCCCAGGCAGAGCTGGGGTCCTGGGACAGAGACCTTCCTCCAGTTCCTGGGGTCGGCAAGGTGGTCTGATGGAGATGGAGGAGGGCCCTGCAGCGCCGGCCGTGGCGTCCTCCTCAAACTGGGAAGACTCGGCCTCTCCAAGGACATGCCTGTGGTTTCCCTCAGACCTCAGTCTCAAGCTCAGGAAAGACCCAGCCTGGTGGTCTTGTTATTTCACAGAGAAGAGAATCAAGTTCTCAGGTCTGTGACCCCCATGAATCAAGGCCCATGTGCTGTATGATTCTTGGACTCAATCCCACCCCCGACATCTGCCCAGAGTCCACGTTCTCTCTGGACAGAGATGCTTCCCTTGGCCACATTCAACTCAGCTTCCCCTGAGCTCTTTTCCAAGTAGACCTGACTCTGGCATCTGTGTTCTCCTCTGCACTGTCCAGTATTAGGAAGATCCTTCTAAGTCAGTTTCACCCCATGTATCTGCTCACCCTGCCTATCTGATGGGGGCTCCTGAAGTGATGTCTGGTCACCTGGACTTGCCTTCAGCAAGGACCCTGCTAGGTCAGCTTAACCAGAATCTCCCTTACCCTGGAGCTTTTCTCTAAGTTATTTTACACCCACTGACCCCTCCCACCATGCTCATTAGCTGTAAATTCCCACCTGCCCGAGCCATGCACTTTCTTTCCATTTTCTTTCCCACACTGCAAAGTCCCATCGCTTGTGTTCCTGCAACTATCACATTGGTCCAGAATAAAGTCTCCTCACCATGCTTTAACAAGTGGCACAAACAATTTCTCTTATCACCTGACCAGCTGACCCAGGACTCCAAGAAACAGAAGTCCAGACCCCTGGGCTCTGCCCACAGAGAACCAAGAAGGGACCTGCAGATTCAGGTAGTGTGGTGGCTGCAGAGGGCGTCCCTCACCTGCTCAGGGTTCTCAGCTCTGCAGTCACCGTTCTCCTGGGGAAAGTTCTTCTCTTTCTGTGTGAAGACAACCATCCTCAATTCACAAAGAAACCAGAAGAAAAGCCTGGCAATAAAATATCTGTTATGCAAAGAAACTCAAACACAGCAGATACACAGTATCATTCACTGCCTGTGAAATAGCCAATCCCTTCTAAACGCTGTTTCCCCATGTGTGTAAGAAAGGCAGGTGGGAAAAAGGAGGGAGGGCATATTATCAAGGAAACAAGATATTTTTGAGGAGGGTGTGTGCTGAGGAGGATGTACTTCAAACCTACGAATGATTGTTGTGGAAGTGTAGTGGGTGGAGGAAAGTGTTGGTGGAATTTTAAGTGCGAAGCCAGTTTTAAAAAGAGCCTGTAAATTATAATATGTTTCATGTTGGTAGAGAAAGACAGGGTTCATGAGCATGAAAAAATGGGGAGACACAATAATGATGGCCAGCATTTATCTAGCATTTTCTGATGAACAAGATCGGCTTTATTTCGTTGAAACATCATTAAAAACCCAATGAGGTCTATTCATTTCCTTAGGAGATTATTAATAAAACCTGAGAAGTTAAGTGGTATTTCATATGACTGAGGGTACCATAACAGCTATGTGTTGGTGTATATGTGTGTGAGCATGTGTGTTTATACGTGTGTAAGTGTATGTGCATACCTGTGTGTTCTTATGTATGCATGTAGGTTTGTACCATTTCATGATGGAACTCAGTTCAGGAGAAGAAAAACAATGTCTTTATTTTTCTATGGTTGATCTGATCTTGGTCATGATCTGCCCCTCCTGAACAGCAGGGAGAACACACACACATGCACATGTTTCCTAGAGTTTTACCTCAGCCCTTCCCAATCATTTATATCACTTTATTTAGCCTAATTTCATCTTCCCAATATCCTTCTTCCTGAGCTGCCTCCCAGGGTGGTGTGGAGGGTGGAGGAGCTGGTGTTGGAGGTGATGGTTGGGTCCGTGGACGGCTCCGTGTCCTCCTGCTGGTCCTTGGTCTGAGCTGACTGGGGTCTATGGGGTTTGTCATCAGGGCTCTGGAGGACCTGCTGGTGCCCGTGCCTGATGGTGTCAGGTCATTCCTCTCTCTGCTCAGGGCCAGGAGACCCTTCCTGTGGACTCACCATCTACTTAGGTCCAAGGGTTGAGGGGATGTCCGTGAGTATCTGCTTTTCCATCTGGTCCAGATGTGATCTCTCCTCTCCTTCATGTAGGGCCCCCTGCAGCCCCTTAGCATGCATTTACCCCCTGGACACACCTCTGGGGAATTGGGGTGGAGTCATAAACACACGGAGACCCTCCCTCTCTGCCTGGCCACGCTGCACCAACAGGTTTGCCAAATGAGGCTCCCTCTCCAGGTGGTGCTTGGGGGCTGTGGAGCAGGAAGGATGTCTTTTTAAAGACGCCCACAAAAAGTAAGCCAAATGGGACATTCTCACCCCTAGTGGTTTGCAGAGTAATTTTAGTTTTAATCTAAGTGGTGAGAGTTTTGACCCTATAAATGGGGTGGACACAACAGACACATTCCAGCCCACTGCAGACTCAGGGCTCTCCTGTCATGTGAGTGCGTGCATGTGTGTGTGTGCATTGAGTGCAAGTGTGTGTGTGCATGTGTGAGTGTGTGTGTGTATGCATGTGAGTTCCTGCTCCCTGCATGTGGTCATGCAGGTAGTTGTGGGTAGGTGGGTCCGTTCTCTGCCTTCTCCCAGCCCCGCCACCCAGCAGCCCCTCCCTCGTTCATCCCTGGTACTCGCTCCATCAGGAAACACTGACACCAGCTCTAAGTCCTAAGGTGAGCAAGCTCAGGGGACCTAATGCGCAGGGTGGATGGTGATGGATGTAGTAATGAATTTGTTTGTGCTAATCATTGCACAATATACTGTATACATATGTCAAATCATCATATTCTATACCTTGAATATATTCAATGATTGTTAATTAAGTACTTTTTTTTTTTTTTGAGACAGAGTCTCACTCTGTTGCCCAGACTAGAGTGAGTGTCGTGGCATCAGCCTAGCTCACAGCAACCTCAATCTCCTGAGCTCAAGCAATCTTCTTGCCTCAGCCTCCCGAGTAGCTGGGACTACAGGCATGCACCATCATGCCCAGCTAATTTTTTCTGTATATTTTTTGCCAATTAATTTCTTTCTATTTTTAGTAGAGACGGGGTCTTGCTCTTGCTCAGGCTGGTTTCAAACTCCTGACCTTGAGAGATCCTACTGCCTCGGTCTCCCAGAGTGCTAGGATTACAGGCATGAGCCACCACACCAGGCCTGATTAAGTACTTTTTTTAAAAAAAGAAAAGACAATTGAAAATACCTACGCCTCCATGGTGGCTCATGTTTTACCCACTCAGCTTTGAATATCTGTGAAGACAGAGATGGGGGCCAAGTGACCTGTGCACCCCAGCAACTGCCACAGGAATGCTAGATGTTAGGGCTTTAAAACTACTGATGCACAAAGTGTGACCCAGTCAACCAGCCTCAGCTCTCACCTGCATACGTACAGTCCAGTCGTGAAGTCAGCAACTAAACCTAAAAAGATCTTTAAGATTATCTGAGGAGATGGGTACAATAGAGTCTCTGTGGTACTTGGGATTCACAGGAGACATCTGGGACCAGCTGGGATTCTGCAAGTCTGTTCATGAGATCAGCTGGGTGCCTGTAGCTGGGTCTCTGCAAACAGCTAGGTATCTTTAGGTGGGTCCCTGGAAAGAGCCAGGTAGATGTAGTTGGGTCAGTTTTCAAGTGTGCAACAAAGTGCTTGGAAGTATATCAATGTTGGTGTGGAACCATTACCACCACCCATGTCCAACATTTTTCGTGTTCCCCAGTTGAAACTCTCTACCCATTAAACACCAACTCCTCATGCATGTTCCCTCCTCCCAGGCCCTAGAAACCAATATTCCACTTATTGTTTCTATAGGTTTGACCATTCTAGACACCTCATATAAGTAGACTTATATAGTCTTTGTCCTTTCATGACTGGCTTATTTAATTTAGCATAATATCTTCAAGCTTCATACATGGGTAGCATGTATCATTCGCAATTCCATTCCATTTTATGACTGAATAGTATTCCACCATATGTCTCTACCACAGCTTGTATTCACCCATCAATGGACATATGAGATATTTATACTTTTTGGTTATTGTGAATAATGGTAGTATGAACATGGGTGTATGAATATCTGTTCAAGTCCATGCTTTGATTTCTTTTTGATATATACCCAGAATTGAAATCGCTGGATCATATGGCAATTCTATGTTAAATTTTTTGCAGAACTGCTATGAATTTGGGTAATTATTTATTCTGTGTTTGTTTTTTTGGTAGTCAAATGAGCAATATGAGACCATGGTTATTATCATTTTTATTCAACACTGAATCCATTAACTAGCATATATGAACCTATGAATACGGGTATTGGGATTAGTTAATTAAATGATGCAATGATCTGGAAGGCACTTGTAGAGCAGAGACCATACTTGGAGCATTTTTCTACCTTGTGCAGCAGGCAAAGCAGGACTGTGAGACTCGGGCGTCACTGACAATGAACACAAAGGGGCTGAGTGTTGGGAAGCCTGACGCCACCAGGACAGAGATGCCCCTCAGCCACTGGCTTGGGTTCTGCAGCCGGGTTATCCAATATGACAAAATAGAAGCTAGAGCATGAAAGGAGACAAACATGCTCACCAGGATGAGGATAGTGTGTGTGGCTCTGGTTTCATGGGAAGTTCTGGGGGAGAGGTGGCTGCTGCGGATGTGTTGGACTCTCTGCTTGTGCCTGTGCAGGACGAGGACCATGGAAATGCTAGTGCAGAGCATGAGGGCCAAACACAAGCCATCTGTGAAGGTATAAATGACTGCACTTATTGAGAATAATATCCCTGAAAGGTGTGAGGAACAGTATCTGTACACAAAAAACATACTCATGTTTTTGCTATTTGTTGGGCCAGCTACATACATTGCAATTGGGATATTTACCATAAAATGCAAGACCCAGCAGAGGAAACAGGAGAAAACAATGCACTTTGGGGATCTAATATGAAGGTCCATCCACCTAGAGATGCTGGGACAAAGTTTAATGGCCTGAAAGCCACTGAGGAGGCAGGTGGTGCTGAGGGAAACCCCTCTGGCCACTCTGTGTAAATAGAAGACAAGTTTACATCCAGCTTCATGCAGGAAAGATTCCAAACCCAAAGTTTCCACCGTCTGAGGGACCCCTTTAGAGCAAAGAACTAAGTTAGCTAAGACCAGCTGGTTCAGAATCAAGTCTCTGGGTTTCAGTATCTGTGCAGTGATAATAGTAAAGTTATAAAAGCAAAGAAGTGAAGCATTTCCAAGGATTCCAACACCAGTCTGAATGACAAAGATAATGCCCCAGTTTAAGTTAACAGAGATCAATCCATCCATTTAGAGGAAATGTTGGAGTTTCATTTCACTTGAATCAGAGGAATCTAGACACTGAAATAAAATTCATGTTATTCTCACTGCATCCAGAAAATGCCTTTCCTCCCCCACAAAACCCTTTATTCCAAGCAAATACAAACATTAAGAACAGGTGTTTTGTAAGTACAAAGCTATTTATAGCAGCATTATTATTTGTAACACCCCAGTGACCTGAACTCACGCAATCTCAATCAGAGAGAGCCTGAGCGTCCCCGAGCGTCCCACAGTGGAGCACTGGGCAGCTGTGGATGTGGTGAGGACGTCCCTTAAAGGGTGATCCACCAGGGCATACAGTCAGGGGGTGGTGAGAGAAGGAAGCCCCAGAACATCATGCGCAATTAGCTCTATTTAACTAAGAACCAGAGAGAAAGAGCATTTTGTCATACCTTTGTGTGTGTCTATATTTTTGTATTTGAAAAAATGAAAATAGATCAAAACATGCAGATACTTGTGAGGGTGAGGGGGTGTAGTGTAGAGGAGACAAGATGAAGCTAGACAGACCTAATCGTGTCCTGTGTGTTCTTTTCATTTAGAAATATGTACATATTTTCTCCAATATATAATACAAAAATATTTAAATATAATTTATAAACCTAAAAAC